GAGGTTTCGCTTACGACGGCACTGTATATAGAGGTGTACCTTTATAACAATATATTTGTATGTATATACATGTGCGTGGTGTACGTATAGGTATAATAAATTATATGGTTAGTGGTATATATAGGTACACTGCAGGGCCGCCGAAGCGCGTATGGCACACGGCAGACGTCGCCGAGCTCTTTCGCCGCCGCAGCGAACAGACGGAAATCACGGGATGTTTCCTGGGGGKTTTTTTGTTTTTTATTCCGTTTAGGTTTTGTTTTTGTAGTTTTTTTTTCGCCTCCCCCGACGGGTCCGTCAGGTCAGTGACTCGGCGCACCACCGCCGCTCGTCTTTAACACGCCGCCGGACGAGCTGCACGACGACGAGGCTATTATTATTATCGCGCTTATATAAGTATATTTGTACATATATAAGGTGTAACAGATCGAACTGACTTTTGGAATAAATTTTGTTCAAAACAGTATTTTTTATTTAAGTGGCTGAAAATAAAATTTAATTTAATTTAATTAACATTTTTTTTTTTTTTTGGATAAATTCAAAATAGCCTATTTGTGAATCTGATTTTAAGAATAATTTTTATGGTAAAAACTAATAACATTTATCTAAGTCAAATAGTTTATTTTTTAGAATTTTTTGTATAATTCAATATTATTTTGGTTAAATTAATTTGGAACGTAATAACTTTTTTTAAAATATGATTTTTGAGAATTTGCTGCATATTTCTTAAATTATTTACTGATCATATATACCTAATATTAACAATTTTTGTCATACGTACGTTCTTCAATTACCATAATTTTTTTTTTTTTTGGCCGGGTTTTTTCTGTTACACCCTGTACATTATTTATACACATTTGGCCGACTACCACGTGATTACATAATATAATAATAATAATATTATGAGGTTTGTCATAAAATACCACTAACCGGCATAGGTACTCGTTTAGTTATAGCTATAGGTCTACTGCTGCAGCTGATATCATACGTACCCCTATGTATATGATATTAGTTCTAGAAAGTCTCCGGACGTTAATCCGTTTACACATGGCTGCGGATTCGTTTGCCCAAACACAGACTGGCATTCCGTATATATATATATATATATAAAATATAGCACAACTTTGAACCTATATAAACATAGTATAACGCTCATAATTGCGAGTTGGTTGTCGATGACACTTTTTGTCGTATAAATCGAACAATCGGGGCTGCTATAGCTGCGTTACAAACTATTAATAAATTTTTTGGACAGTATATTATTATCCGCGTCTTTATTGGGCAGGTATATAT